CGCTCAGGAGGGTTTGCATGAAGCATGCCGACATCCGCCCTGTCTCTATGACAACAGTCTGTTGACCACGCCCGCTGTATAACCGACACTGCTCCGTTACTTTTTACTGCATGTTTTATATTTGAGATCGTTTATTTCCCGATCAGACACGGAGCGAGGAGGATGAGGGTACAAGACACGATCTGTAGGAGACAAAACTACAGAGAAGATCATATATTTAGAAAAGAGCGCCGTGACGTAAACAGCGCCCAGAGCTTCCGGCCGAAAAGGCGGAGCGCTTGTATAAGAGACGCTGTGCTGTTCCTCCAGGCGGCGAGCTCTCTCTCTCCTGATTTTAAACAACTGGAAAAAAAGAGAGAGAAAATACGCCAAGTGGACACGAAGCCTAAGCTGACAGTACTTTACTTCCTGTGTGCTTTTATTTTGAAAAACATTAAGGCCCTTCCTGTAGATGGAAGGTTAGGACATGAAATTAAGCACAGAAACAGGAAGTGGTTAGGGATCCCAAAGTGAGGTCAAACAGCTCAAAGGAACGGTAACAAAGGTCAATGTGTGATGTCATAAGGTCAGTGTGTGATGTCATAAGGTCAGTGTGATGTCATCAGGTCAATGTGTGATGTCATAAGGTCAGTGTGTGATGTCATAAGGTCAGTGTGATGTCATCAGGTCAATGTGTGATGTCATAAGGTCAGTGTGTGATGTCATAAGGTCAATGTGTGATGTCATAAGGTCAGTGTGATGTCATCAGGTCAGTGTGTGATGTCATAAGGTCAGTGTGTGATGTCATAAGGTCAATGTGTGATGTCATAAGGTCAGTGTGTGATGTCATAAGGTCAGTGTGTGATGTCATCAGGTCAGTGTGTGATGTCATAAGGTCAGTGTGATGCCATAAGGTCAGTGTGATGTCATAAGGTCAATGTGTGATGTCATAAGGTCAATGTGTGATGTCATCAGGTCAATGTGTGATGTCATCAGGTCAGTGTGTGATGTCATAAGGTCAGTGTGTGATGTCATCAGGTCAGTGTGTGATGTCATAAGGTCAGTGTGTGATGTCATAAGGTCAATGTGTGATGTCATAAGGTCAGTGTGTGATGTCATAAGGTCAGTGTGATGTCATAAGGTCAGTGTGATGTTATCAGGTCAGTGTGTGATGTCATAAGGTCAGTGTGTGATGTCATCAGGTCAATGTGTGATGTCATAAGGTCAGTGTGATGCCATAAGGTCAGTGTGATGTCATCAGGTCAATGTGTGATGTCATAAGGTCAGTGTGATGTCATAAGGTCAGTGTGTGATGTCATAAGGTCAGTGTGTGATGTCATCAGGTGGATATTACTGTGTGAGAGTTTGTTAAAGTGAAATGAGACATTCAAAGATGCAGCAGTGAGACTACAGGGAGACACTGAGGACGAGTATCTACGGAGAGCCTGAAGGGACAAACATGAGATTAACTGTGATTAACTCGTTAATGCCGACAGCCCTACTTTTAAATCTGTTATTTTTAACACGGCGGCCCTTAAAGGTCAACTGCACAAATATATTTCATGATTTCAAAGAAGAAAATTTCTCCAGACGCTAAGAACTTTTAACTTCCTGGTTTTTTAAATATATTCCACAAAAATTGTGAAATGTTTGTGCCGTTGACCTTCGGAGCCACCGCACATATAACGAGGCAGCTTTAAAGGCCACATATTCTGTAAAATCCATGGCATGGCGTGAGAAAGCAATGAGCCACCATGCCCTTCCAGAGAGGGGGCGTGGTCAGACACAGCTCATTTACATATTTAAAGGTACAGACACAGAAACAGCCTGTTCTGAGCAGGGCTGAAATAGAGGGGTTTATAGACATGATCAAATACAGGATCAGAGTGGATCTAGAACAAGAGACTTCACACACACTTATGACACTAAACTGAAGAGGAGGAGGATATGTGACCTTTAAAGAAACAGCAGATCTTTAGTCTAGGTTGTCCATTTCTGTTGCCGTGGTTACAAACAGTCATCTTAATAGTTGTGACAACCCTACTTCTTACTCTACAAAAACAAGAGAGCAACCAGGACCAGCTGAGATCCTCGTGTCGAACTTCAAACATGAAAAAATAAACCGCTCTTTTCTCCTCGACCCTCGTGGCCAATTTGTCGTCACATTCATGAACTTTTTTCATCTTTATTTGTCTTCAAATACATTTTGTAAATGCAACATGAAAAGCACAATCACACTGAAAACAGACGTCTCTTCAAAGTCTGCTTCCTTAAAACGCCCTCAGCGGGGAAAAATAAAACCACGCTCCTATTATTTTTTTTTACCCCTTCAAAGCATAACAATGAGCGTAGAAAAAAAAAGTTATTTATGTTCAGTGCTGCAGCCTCTATGCGTCCTGATTGGCTCTAAAACTTCTAGGACTGAGTGAAGGTCAACGCTCGACGAGGAACAAACTCGACGTCACTCTTCCGCTGTTCTGTGTCCGTCACGGGAACTTTTCTGGAACCTTGAAGTGAAACTGGAATTGTGGTTTAAAGTAGACGCAGAGCGCCTGGTAGAGCCTGTTTTCCACCGCCGCTCGTCTCTCCTTTCAAACTAAAGTCGGGGCGGCGCTACAGAAACACCGACGGGCAGAGAGGTGATGATAAAGAAGAAAACCGTTTGATCCAGCTGCCTCACTTTAACGTCGTGAACGGAACATTTTACACCATCGATCAAACTAAACACACTCAGAAACTGTTTTTCAGACGGCGTGATCCGACAGGAGCCAGTTGTGACGGCTGGTTTATCAAAGAGCAGATTTATGATCAGGTTTTCTTTCCCGGACTTCTGAGGAAGTCATATTTGTAGTTTTTAAAAGCGTAGACAAGACCAAAGACCAAGGCAGGACAAATCATCACCTTGTGTAGAGCGGGCGTCTCACTCACTTAAACCGTACCACCACGAAGGTTGCGGACGTTACCGGGGGATTAAAATCAGACTAAGTTATGACGTTCTCCTTCTAATCTCAGTGATGACGTGAAGAAATAGCCGATCAGCGGTGGTCTTGATGGGTCTTTAAATCCGGAATCCGCCCAGTCTGAGACCGGGACAAGCCCGAGTGAAAATTATCTCGAGACCGAGACCTTCAGGAAGTGGTCTCGAGTCCGGTCTTGGGTCTACTACAAAAATTTGCCCATCTGAAGAAAACGCCGATCGTTTGTTGCCGCTCTGAGTGTTCAAAGAACCAACACCTGCCTCTCTTTCATCTTTACTCGACATTTTTAAATCATGATCAAACTAAACTTTAGTCACTTTTCTTTAAACGGAACGATCAGAGCGGGATCTGACGGAGGTTGAAGGGCAAACAGCTTCTAACCGACGTGTGGTTATAATCAGACGATTTATTTCTACATTATTTAAACCTCCTGATCAGAGAGACGCACCCCGATCGAGATAATCAGCTCGCTTTACGATTTCACAAACCAACCCATCACAACATGAACGGGAGATTGTGAAAATAATCGTTTACATCAGGACTCGTTGCTTTGGGGGATATACTGGAGGAGGTTTGTGCACCCAAAGGTCCAGGTTCAGTCCCTTCCTGAGTTTGGGACGTGTAGTTCCGGGAGCTTTGACGGTTAGTGACGGTTGAGTAAAAGCGGCGCTGTGGGGCTTCCGGACGCTACGATTCATAGAAAAATCTGCTGTACAAGGAGTGGTTATCGAAAGAAAGAGATGTGGAAAACATTCAGGCTGAGTCAGCTAACTGTATACACCTGTCTGTCTGTCTGTTTATCTGTCTGTCTGTAGCCTCGTGCTAACCCTCACAGCAGCACAGGGGGACGTGAGCAGGACGAGCAGAGCTGCGTTCAAACGAGTAAAAAAGAGCAGGATCATAAAGAAACAGTAAGCAGGTTAAATAAGCGAGCAGGGTTTCACCTTTAAGTGTTTTTTTTTTCTTCATTAAGTAAAGAAATAACAGGAAGAAGAAGAAAATCCAGAGAGGAAGAGAACCCCCCGAAAATATTCAAGCAGGAAGCTAATAGACATACCTGTGTTCACCTCAAGAGGGCGCCAAGCTAAAACTGCTACGAACAAATCACAAAATACAGTTTGTTTGTTAATATCTCATGAAGCTAAAGGTTAAACTATCTCTAAGAGTCACTGGGTTTATGTTCTTAGCCCCTCCACCGCCCTCTCGCTCGTGTGTCTCTCTTTCCCGGGACGTTAACCGGCACCGTGAGGCCGCCCCGTCGTCGAGCCGAGAAGTCTCTTCCTTCCAATAACGGACATCAAGCGAGCGAGCGCTCAGTCCCGCTTCCACTCCTCGCTCTCACAGCACGGCTAAGAGACAAGGCCCGCTTAAAGTCCAACTATGGCAATATATACGTATTTATATATTTATATAGCCGTGACGACCCGCAGTGACGACCCGCCGTCCTCTCCTCCCTCCAGCCACACAGAGCCTCCTCCTCCTCCGACATGAAAATGAATGGAGAGATCACAAAGTCCAGTCTGTTTTGACCCCCCCCCCCCCCAGGTGCTTCACCTGACCTCCCCCTGAACTCGACCACCACACCGTCCTCGCTCTCTCACACACACACCTCGCTTCAGTCTGCAGGCGGCAGAGACGCTAAAAACAGGCGCCCCGAACGGCTGAGCAGACGTCCACGAGGTTGGTTTTTATTTTTTATTTCTAAAGAAAGAGAGAGAGTTCTTCCAAGTGAGAGAGGAGGTGTGGCGTCTGTCTAAAACCGGGGGGGTTAGAGGTGGTAAGGGGGGGATGGTTATGTTCCTCAATGTTCAGATTTCCCGCAGGTTGAAGGAAACCCGGCGGATGTGGCACGTGGCACCGCGTTTGAAGAGATCCCGCGCCCTCCGATCCAGGAGGGGCTTCCCCCGCTCCTCGACAGCCGAGGGGGGGGGTGGGGGTGGTGTTTCAGCCTCGTCGGGGGGTCGTGTTGCCTCCCCAGCCTCCACCGTTTCTCACCGGTTTAATTTTCCATTTCAGTTGGAGCTCGTCTTCGTCAAACTTCTGTTTTTTTTTCTCCTCCCATTTCTCCTGGTGGTGGGTTTTTTTCCGTTGACGTCAGAACACAAAGTGTCGCGGCGGCCGGCCGTTCAGTGAGGCGGGTTCATGGTGCCGTGACCTCGCTGCTGCTTCTGTTTCTGCTGCAGGAGGAGCTGCTCCAACGCCGACGGGCCCGGCTGCATCATGGAGCTTGACCAGATGGACTGCGGAGGAGAGCGGAGAGTTAGCACGACGCTAATCACGGTTAGCACAAACGTCACAGCTTTTCTTTTCCTTCCTGCTCAACGTTCGTTCATCACTGACAGTCAGTGACAGCTGCTCTTATTCTCGTGTATGACAGACACAGCGGGACTAACCTTGAGGCTGTCGAGCAGCACGGTGGAGGACGACTCCTCCATCGGACACTCCTGATTGGTCCAGGAGCCTCCCGGCGGGCCTGCTTGGTGCCAGCTGGTGTCCGAGGCTGCAGAGGAGGCTGCAGCCGGCAGGTAGTCCAGACCGAACCCGCTGACCGCTCCTGAAAACAATCAGTGAGTTAGCTACACGACGAAACCTGTATCCTTAAACCTGCCCCTCCGAACCCCCCTAACAACAGTCCTTTAAAACCCAGTCACCTGTACCTCCTTAATCCAACCCATCTGGCCCCTCAACCCTAATCCTCCACCCCCTAAACCTAAACCCCGCCCCTCTCTCACCAGTCTTGTCGGCCTTCCAGCGGTCCATCACCCTGCGGTCCCGGCTGTCCGGAGTACCAATGGGCCCGAAGTTGGAGAAGGGCATGGCTCCGTGGTTGTGTGTCGGTGGCGAGGACGGCAGGCTGCTGGGGTTGGAGGAGTGAGGTGATTGGCTAGCTGGGGTGGAGTGATCTGCCAATCAAAAAACAGCTTACATCAGAGCTGCGTACCTTTTAATGAACAAGAATTTATTAACATGTTCACAGGTGACGTACCTGAGCTGGCAGGGAGGGAGGGGGACCAGGGAGTCCCCTCAAACAGGGAGTAGAGGGAGGGCTCCTGGTGCATCATGGGAGTGTCAGGCTTGGAGCTGGGCGGCAGGTTCTTGCCGTAAGCCTGACTGAAGATGCTGTTCTGGTTATACTCCTGAAAAAATAAAAAATCATGTAAACGTTAGAGCTGTGACGGATCAGGAGGCATCTCTGATCACGAGTGAAATACCCTGTGTTTTAAAACGACACGATCTCTAATATTTAAATGATCGATCGAATCAGAAAGATTTAACAAACGCTGATGATGCAAATCCATTCCAGCAGAAAGAGACGCACTGCAGGCGAGCACACTAAATGTTTCTGTTGTTTGCTGAAACTTGGAGAGGGGAACACAAGTTTACCTGAATGCTGGGCGCAAATTAACATTCATTGTAAACACTGCCACCCGCTCTGACACAAGGAGGAGGCGGAGTCGTTTGGTCAGTGAGCGCGTGAGACTGCTGGCTCTGCTCTGAGTGTCAGAGTCAGTACAGGGCCCCTCCTCCTGGGCTCATCTATACCAGAAGCTCACACTCCCTGCAGGACGTAGTGTGCACGTTTACTGCTTGTACCAACAATTTAGCACGCTAGCACAAGCTAACCGCTGGTGTTTGTCACCTTCCTGTCCAACAGGAAGTAGACCAACTCCACATCTACAGGTAAAAGACAACACAAGGTTCACCCTCGTTTTAGAACAAGCTTTATCCACTTGGTGTTTCTCCTCACTCTGATTATATTTTCTCTTCTTTGCTGCTACGTCCACGTCCGTCATATTCACGGCTTTGAATCTCGTCCAATCACTGAATTGTATCCACTCCTAAACTCACCTGCTGCGCTGTCATTGGCTGGAGGAAACACACCAGCTCCGCCCAGAAACGTCCCGAGTCAACCAGAACAAATCAGAACAGTAAAATCCAGTCAGAGGACAGAGTCTCTGTTAGTGTGGTAGTCAAGACCAGAGAGCTCTGAGACCCAGACAAGACCAAGACATTTAGGGATCCAGGTCAAGACCAAGACCAAGACCAAGACCAAGACCATAAATATCACTGAAAAATCGTTGTGTTGCCCCGAAGTGATGACTGAGCAGCTTTACTTTAGTATAAGTCTGTATTTTATTTTGTAGGGACATGATACTGACTCCATCTTTAACGCTTCTTTAATATAACCGCCGCTGTAGCTGGCAGGTTGAACAATCAGCGTTGCCACACGACCAAACGTGCGCGTTTAAACCGGTGATGGCGGTATTGAAAGAGCTGATGTCGTGATAACCAGGATGGAGAAAAGTTCTGACCTGCATGGGGAATCCAGAAATGGGCAGGAGAGAAGACGATTGGCTGACGACCTCTGGTCCACTCTCCATCCTGGTCTGGTTTGGCAGCTGCTGAGATAACGGACAGAGGGGATGAGTACTGACACAGAGCGGCACACAGACAGACAGACAGACACAGACAGACGCACGCACGCACGCACGCACGCACGCACGCACGCACGCACGCACGCACGCATTTCAGCAGCAGCGACTCGTCGGAAATAAAAACGCAGGACACAAAACTAACCCTGAACAAAGCTCACAGATTCAGATGAGAGCTACAATGTTCTGAGAAGTGAACACAGAAACTTGTGCTTATAACCTTTTCATTATCTTTATAATAAATCTCATTAATCAGCCAGCCAATAATATCGCCTGATATCAGCATATCCAGTGACTATCGGTATCGGCTAATTTCATTGCAATATGCTCCGATATTACTCGATTTATTCTTCCAGTCAAACATCATTTAATCTGAGTCTCATTGTGTTACACTAGTTCTCTGTCACCAGCAGGGGCGCTATATGGATTACAACAAGCATCATCACTCTGCAGAGTGTTGAGCGGTGATGCACGTACATGCTCAGTTACTTTCCAGCTGAGTGACCATCTCGTCTTCATTATAAATCTTTTCCACAAGTGTTTGATAACTGCATTAGAGCGATGAACGAAAAATCAATATATCTCTAAAGATGGTAGAAAGACATCGGCCCATATATCGGGATCTGATTTTTCCCCCCCAGTATCGATATCGGTTGAACCCTAAGGATTAGTTTATTTTAGCTTCCATTGTAAAGACATTGATAATTTAATTACTGATACAAAAGGAGTTCATGTTCTTAAGACTGGTCGTCTCTGAAAAAGTAGCCATGTTCGGTTATATAGAAAATTGAGGCTGCACCGTGACGCATCGTGCTATCAAATAGAATCGCTGACCATTATCAGCTCACTGATTAATCAGTCGTTCTCCAGTCAGCATTTCACTTCAAGCAAACAGGCAGGCGATTGGACGAGAGGTGCACGATGTGTATCCTGAACTCAGAGAAGAATCTGACCAGCAGCTGAAGCAACAGTGAGGCTTCATGTTTGACTTTAACACTCAGACTTCAGGAAGAGTTCTGCATCATGGGGTGATTTGTTTTAAAATGTCTGGACTGAATTTTAGTTGTTGTGTTAGTAAATTAATCAAAAAGGAAGATGAGAGGACGAGAGAGACAGAAGTTCTGTTAAATGATGAACAGAGTGTCGTTAGTTTGGATGGGTCTGGATGCAGGGTGGTGGTGGTGTGGTGGAGGGATGGGATGTTGGAGGCAGAAAACAGGTCTACATACAAAAATGTTTGGTCCGGGAGCAGTGCTAAGAGGGCCAGCCAAAGCCTGGAAGAAATCAGGAGGCTTAGTAAAGACGAGCTCCTCCTCCTCCTCAAAATCTGCTAGAGTTTTTAACAGGTCAGGAGGGAGAAGAGGCGAGCTCTTGTTGTCCTGGTGAGAGATGAAACGAGGAGAAGGAGAAGAAGAAGAGAGAGAGAGAGAGAGCGGGAAAAAGAAGAGAAACAGAAAGAAGGTAAGCCGGTAAGACAAGAGGTGGAAGTAGGAAAGCTTAAAGAAACCTGAGAGCTTCATTTTCAAATCGTCCTCGACAACACATCTCTAGCTTTGTGTTCTGCTGCTCGATAACCAGAAGCATGCGGAGATCAGCTTTCAGTGGGTGCTGACCCTCCAGTCACTGGGAAAACATTAGCCATCACGGAGCTCCATCGCCATCACGGAGCTCCATCGCCATCACGGAGCTCCATCGCCATCACGGAGCTCCATCGCCATCACGGAGCTCCATCGCCATCACGGAGCTCCATCGCCAACACGGAGCTCCATCGCCAACACGGAGCTCCATCGCCATCACGGAGCTCAGCTCCATCGCCATCACGGAGCTCCATCGCCATCACGGAGCTCCATCGCCATCACGGAGCTCCATCGCCAACACGGAGCTCCATCGCCAACACGGAGCTCCATCGCCATCACGGAGCTCAGCTCCATCGCCATCACGGAGCTCCATCGCCATCACGGAGCTCCATCGCCATCACGGAGCTCCATCGCCAACACGTCTTTGTACGTTCATATTGATTCTGATTTCTCAGAAGGAGCTCCCACACACACACACACACACACACACACACACACACACACACACACACACACACACACACACACACACACACACACACACACACACACACACACACACACACACACACACACACACACACACACACACACACACACACACACACACACACACACACACACACACACACACACACACACACACACACACACAGCTGTTCTCCCCCGCTGGCTCAGCTGATCCCCTCTCTCTCCTCTTTAACACCTCTGAAGACGGCGCAGAGGGGGATCACTTCGTCCCCCCATAACGCCTTGAGAGCACTAATAGCCTAGCGGTTATGACGCGTGCACCATATACAGAGGCTATAGTCCTTAGCGCAGCGGCCGTGGGTTCAAATCCGACCTCTGTCCTTTGCTGCATGTCATCCCACACTCTACTCCCAACATTTCCTGTCTCTCTCCAGCTGTCCCATCTCATAAAAAAGCAAAATGGCCCAAAAAAATAAAAAAAATATCACAACTTGAATCTAAAATCCGAAAAGACCAAAGGACAAAATGTACCCATGATCAGGAGGAAGCCGACACTGAGAAGCTAGCTGATTAACAGTCACTGCCAATATCCACATAATCCTTGCACGCCTAGCACTACGGCGCTGTTTTCCACCACTCTAGTCTCACGCCAAGATTGACAGAATAGATCGAGACGGACAGGAAGCCAGACAAGGAAACGCACAGAGCGTCCGGTCGATTTAAAAAATAACACACAGTATACAGACTCCTGATCGGATATTTCATCACTTTATAAACATGACGTGAAAACAGGCACCGAGCGATCAAACAAACCATCCTCAGAAAGACAAAGGACCCGCTCAGAAACCGAACAGACACAGAGACGCATCAGGACATGAACACACCCTCGCCTCCTTTTTTTAGGGATGCTCACCTCAAACGGGGGTCCCCTGGGCCCGGCGGAGGGGTCCTGCTCTGGACAGATTCCTCCCGGTGGAGGCCTCTTCATCCTGTCGGCCATCACAGCCAGCCCTTCTCCTAACCTGTAGGACGGCTCCCAGTAGAAGTCCTGCATCTTGACGTTGGGGTACTTGATCTTCTTGTCCATGCTGGGGGGCTGCAGCTGGTGCTCGTACAGTTTGAGGGGGTCCTGAGCCGCCATGTAGAAGGCCTGCTGCTGCTGCTGCTGCTGGGGCTGCTTCATGGACATCTGCAGGGAGGGAATCTTCTGCAGGGCGGCCTGAGCCTGGTTCCACATCTGAGCCGGCTGATCCTGGACCTGCATGTACTGCAGAGACAAGAAAATACAAAGAAGATCACCAACTGCGACAAACGTTTCTCATCCGTCTCCGTCTGAGGGAAGGCTCCGAATCATTCTGGGGTTTTACACACGCAGCCCTGAAGAACTCTTTAAAGACAGTGTTAATTAAGTATTAAGTTAGTTAAGTACGCTATAAACATGGCGTGTTGTTTCATGTGTATGCTGATGATACCCAGATGTACCTGCTCATTAAATCTCGAGTTCTGTGAACGACTGCCTGTCTGAGATCAAGAGCTGGATGTCCAGTAACTTTTTGCAGTTGATTTTTAACAAGTCTGAGATCGTTTTAATTGGACCACTGCACATGACCGAAAGAAATGCTGCCACCTGCTGGTTGCATATTGAACCATGTCAAACCTGCTGCAAAAAGTCTGGGTCCTTTAATTTTGAGCAGCACAGAACAAAGCTTGTACAGTTTTGTTTTTCCCATCTCAGAAATATTTTGAAAGTTGGATCTTTTTTTACTTTTAAAGACACAGAGATCATTGCTCCATGTTTGTTGATTTAAAGGTAAGATCCCCAAAGACCAGTATAAAAACTAAAGGGGGACAGAGCGTTTGCTGCCTGAGGCGTTCAGGTTAGCTGAGTCAGTAATCTTTCCACTTATAGGGACAGCAATCTCAGAACCCTTCGTCTAACAGGTGGATGTTTAAAGTACTGACCTGCTGCAGACCCGGGTGGTGTGGTGGACTCTTCCCCATCCCGACCTGCTGCACCGGTTTGGTGGGAGACTGCTGCTGCTGGCTCATGGCCTGAACCTGCAGCTGGACCGTCTGCTGCATGGCCTGCTGAGAGGGCAGCTGATTCTGAGGCTGTTGATTCTGCGACGACCCCTGGTTCATCTGCCCTGGCATCTGGCCCGAGGACCCTGGTCCCTGACCTGGACCGGGACCTGAGGGCCTCTGCTGACTGTAGGGAATGTGGGACGGCTTACCCGCCTGTGTGCCGGCCTGGGTGTGGACACCCGGCTGGAGGAAAGGGGCGGGGACGGATACTCCGGTGGAGAACGTGAAGCCCGGATTCACCTGGAGTCCCGGGAACCCCACAGGGGGAGGGATCACATAGGCCGAGGGAGGGAATCCTGCAAAGGAACCAATCAGGAGCAGGATGTTAAATGACAGAAAAAAAGTGTGCACGGAACAGCAGTAACAACAACTTAACAACTAATGTGTGCCCGACTTCTCATACCCAGAAGAACATAAAGCTTCATACATGTGCGGGACCTTTAATCGGATCCACTAGACACCGTGCTCTTTGTACACAAAAGAACGGGTCAGGATCACGTAAAGACATCTGATGAAGTACGTATAAGACGTAACCGTGCTCAGGCTGTTGGGCTGGAGCAGCATGTTCGTGCGGGGACAGCAGGGGACTGGGGAGGGTTCCCACTCTTTTCCAGAGATCATTTTCCAGGACATTTTCAGCGATGATCGAGCTGCTATGACAGTCCGTGATCGTGCCAAACCAATATTAAGTATCTTTAACAAGGCTAATCACACCCACTGTGAGCTACCGCTTCAAAGGTATGGTCCATTTTTTACCCTTAACGCAGAATTGTATTTGAAGACACAATGCTAGCAAAGTAAAAGAACCGTTAGCCAGTTTTATCAAACTTATGAAATAGTTGTATTCCACTCTCACTTTTGTCAGGCACAAAGCAGAACACAGTCCTGGAAGTGAGACAGCAGCTAGGTTAGCAAGAAAGACCGACTAGAGAGAGAGAGAGATTCAGTGCAAGTTAGCACGTCATCAATAACGTTAACTAACTGCTGTTGATGTGCGGACCTCAAACTGAGGAGAAAACACAACTCCACCTGATAGTCGTTACCACAATTCACTCTCGTGGTGTTTTTTTTCTCTTTTTGTGAAGGATCTTTTCGCTCCATCCTCTCAACTAAATTGTAAATAAATATCCACTTTTGACACGAGGGGGGGGGGGGCCGAGCATTACATTATCTATAGACTTCCATTCAATCTGCGTTGTGGATTAATGTAACAAATAGATACTTTTATTAACATGTCGCGGTGAAAATGTCCAACCCTGTAGGAGAGTGTTGGAATAACTTTCCAGGACAACACCTGATTTTCCTTTTTCTCTAATTTTCCAGGTGTTTTCCAGTACTGGAAAATGAGTCAATTGTTTTCCAGGACGAGTGGGAACCCTGGGACTGGAGAGTGGCGGAAATCGTGTTTTGGCACGTTACTAGGCAACAGGGCCTGGTGTGATTTGTGTGACAGCACAGTGGGGGCGTGTTGTAATGACTCTTGGTGTCCTGCAGAGGGAGCTGTTGGAAAGGCGGGCTCAGAGGAAACCCAAGTTTGATGGGGAACTGAGAACAGCCTGAGGTCTCGACAAACTAAAAGAAAGAGGCAGCAGAAGAATAACAACTCCCTGTGTCTGTGAGGTTAAATCTCTGTAGGGGGAGGGGCTACAGAAGGCCGGGTTTGAGAGTGTGTGTGTGTGTGTGTGTACCAGGTCTGCTGGGCAGCGGTGGGAAGGCTCCAGGATGGTGGATTGGGATGAACTGGGAGGAGCAGGTGGTTTGAGTCTGAGTGCCAGGAGTCTTCTTGGCCTCAGACACCGGGGTCTTCCTCAGCTCCGTCTGCGCTTTGACCTGAACGACAAAAAAACAAAACAAAGAGACTCGTGACCTCGGCTGCTTGAACGCGTCTCGGTAAGATCCTCAGAGTCAGAGCCGCCATGTTAAATTAAACTTTGAGCTTCTTCACCTGCTTGACAGCATCAGGCGTCTTCTCATGAGCGGCTTTCTTCAGCTCGCTCTTCCTCTTCCCGTCCCTCTTCAGCTCTCCTTTCCCCGCAGCCCCGTTTCCTTTGTTGAAGTCTCGGCGCTCCTTCCCGCTGTCCTTCAGGTTGTGGTTCCGCGTCGGCTCTCGGCTCTGCTCTCGGGGCTTAATGTTCTCTTTGAAGGTAACGACGGGTCGGTCGCTGCCGTCGGGCCAGGAGCTCTGCGTCTTCCCTGCTGATAGCACCGACTTCAGGCCGGAATTCCCGCCGTCGTTGGCCGTCTGCTCGCCGTTTGACGACTCCTGCAGCACCGGTGCCTCCTTCTCCTGCGGCTCCTCGATGGCCTGCTCTGGAATGTCAGTGATAAAGACGAGGAGGCCGTCTTCACTCACTCTGCACTGGATCAGCCTGCAGGGAGGAGACGGGTCATGTTCTGATGCTCAGTGGGGTTTATTCACCGGTCTGTTTGGTGAAAGTCGTCAGAAATGGTCCAAAAGTGTCTACACTGGAATCATGTGGTAGTGACCTTACTATATCAGTATGCAACTCTGACCCCTAGTGTTTAAAATGGGTACTGCAGTCTAAATTCTAAACATCATAGAGAGCTGTCTCCCCCCCCTCCTCTCTAGAGTGGATGCTCACTCAGGTCACCATGTGGTGGACTCTGAAGCTTCAGTGTTTAGCCAGCTCTGCATGGGTCTGTAAACCTTTCTGTGTTCTAACCTCTCTCCATTTTTCAAAAGCATCTCCAATATTGATCCTAGTTTGAGCACGTTTCTGCTCGTGGAGCTTATTAGAAACATGCAGAGGCTTTTTAGGTCGGGTACAATCACTTCTATCTGAACCACTTCTCTTGACCGCTTCCATCACTGCAACACCTGTTGACCTGATAACTGCTCTCATATCTGACAAACCGAGGGGCGTCCAAAACGGCTGTGTGGGGGTGTCTTAAAAGCGCCTACCTTCTCTGGTCCAAACAAATCCAGAGCATTCAGGAGCAGAATCTAAAGTTAGAAGGAGGACATACTGGCTGCTGCATTGTTGTCAGAGAAGCCAGCACTTCAACATAGCATGTTTCCTTAATGATCAGAGAGTAAGCTCACAAAAATCCAGAGTCTAAATCTGAGGAGCGGACAGGTGAAGCAGGTGGACTCACCCCGGCTGGCTGTCAGCTACCCATTTCCCCAGACCGATGAGTCTCTGATGTCGGGTGTGGACCGGCAGACCGTCTCTGTCCACCAGAATCCCCTGATGACCTTTGGTGAAGTCCAGCGACCTGAAGAGAGCGTCGACTTGATTAACATTTCATTCTTAACATTCAAACTAAGTTTATGAACCTTTCAAAATAAAAGGAAGTGTAAAAAATAAAAGCTGTTTGGTGTTGGAGTAGATTCATTATAAATCCATCAGGGAGATTCATGGATCGCTTTAAAATAGGAAATCTGTGCTTCATGAAAAGGTGAGTACCTGAGAGCGGGCCGCAGCGCCAAGAAACCCTGCAGCTCAAACTCCTCAGGCAGGGGCGTCACTGCAGAGAAAACAAACACACCTTCAAACAAAGAACACAAACGGGACCGAGCGATCTCCAGTGACGGTAGAGATCAATTGGAGCGGCTGTGGCTCAGTGGTAGAGTCAGTCATCTCTTAACCTGAAGATCGGGTTCGATCCCCAGCTCCTGCAGCCACATGTCCGATGTGTCCTCGGGAAAGACTCTTAACCCCGAGTTTCCCCCGCTGACGACCAGCAGGAGCAACTCGGGGTGTGAATGTGTAGGTGCGACCTGCGGAGAGGTCAGAAGACTAAAAAAAGAGGCCGTGTGGGGTCGCCTCACCCGTATCAATCGAGGTCATATCTGTGGTCGTGGCTCCCAAACGACGGTCCTACGTCGCTCTGTGAGAGAGGATCAAAGATGGCCGACCAAAGAAAACATGCAACTGATGTCTGACAGCGTCCGAAAACTTAAAGGCGATCACTTCACATTGTGGACGCCTTTACGATCTACGTCAGCTAACCAACCAATAGAAATGCAGCATGAAACGACACACTAATCAGCGCGACCACGCGAGCGAAGCCATACGCTAACAATAACATAACGTATCTCGAGCTCTCTTTGTCCCGTCACATTTTTCTATTCCTCCACACGAGCTCGCTTTCTGCTGACCGCCATGGCACGCCTCAGCTCGATCGGGTTGTCTCACACGCATGACGTCAGTGACAGCGTTCATGCAGGTCGCACCGACATTGCTAAGTGTGGCTGCTATAAACGGAGACGATCAGTCAGTAGGAGGATTTAGACGCTGAAGGGCGAGAAGCTTTTATTCTGAAGGAGAACAGGATGTGAGGGCCACGGCTCTAAATAAAGACTCCTACCTGACAAACACGACACGTCGTCCTCTTTGGGCTGGAAACTGTTGAGGATGGAGACGAGCCAGGGCCAGATACTGAGAGACGAGAGGGAGAGAGAGAGGGTTTACACACATGCATGTTCAGAGCCAATCAGAGAGCACAGAGCACCGCGTGAAGACTTACTGCTGCCTCTGGTCCACGGCGGCCTCGTGGAACACGCTGGGTCTCAGTCTGAGCCAGTCCAGAGACACTTTGATGGCGGGCAGAGGACACTCCCCCATGACCTCCTCGCCCCCCCGGCTCTTGTTGAGCAGAGCGCGGCTGAACATGACGCCCAAGAAGGACACTGAGGGGAAACACAAAGTCAAAACGCCCTTTAACGATCCGGCCTCAGAGCGCAGAGCGTCGTGTCAGAGACGAACTGCTGACGACGCTGAGAGGACAATACGCCTGTGTACACATCAGAGAGTCTAAACCAATCAGGAGACGTTGTTTCAAACACACAAACATGTCAACAAAAGGGATGTAAAGATACAGAACTCCACTAAAAATCAACACCTGTCTGATACCATGGCAACAAAAAATGAAGTCCTAGACACACAGTATGGGGTCTTAAGTAGTTAAGACTAACTATTAAGTTAAGTAAGGGATACTTCACCCGTTGAAACATGAATCTGTGTTGACTTTGGGTCATATATGTAGAAATGTGAAATACATTTTGAAGTTGGAGCCTTCTTGGCTGAGAAAAGGCAGAAAGTGTCTTTTTGGCTCATGTGGATGAAAGACACCAAATCCCAGAATGCAAAGCACCGCAGGCCACTCCCACTAAGGTCCGAATCAGAATCAGAAATACTTTATTAATCCCAGAGGGAAATTCGATCGTTACAGTTTCTCCAAAATATACAATATATCAGTAGAAATATAGAAATAAAAACATTTACAGACATCTTCACTACTGCGTTGTAGTTTCACACCGCTAACCGCAACAGCTTCCAGTGACGCAAAATGACGATATTTGCGTCACTGGAAGTTCCTTTTCAGACTCAGTAATACAGAACCTTCCAGTCTCAGGGAGAAATGAGGGCGGGATGCACGACCATTCAAAAATTCTACCAGGTTTCTAATGATACAAATATTAATGTTAATGAATGAAGTATCCCTTTAAGATGCAGGTCATACTGGAGGCCAGTTATGGTTAGTGTGATCAGAGTGATTCTTACTGAAGAGTCCGAGCAGCTGGAACCAGCTGATCTGCTGCTCACTGCTGTAGCTCTGCTCGCTGCTGTCCACCGCCGTCAGGTCTCTCAGGTGATGGAGCTCGAACAGGTTGATAACGGTGATGTGGACCAGCTGCTGCGAGCTGAAGGCTTTCTGCAGGATCAGCCTCTGCACACAGGAGCACACAGAGAATCTTTAAAATCTTCTTTTTTTTTCAATGAAAAACCTGCAGAAGAAGCGAGTGAACTCTGAGCTGTGACGACGATCTGTCTCACCTGAAACTGCTCCTCCAGCTTCTCCCTCAGAGCGTCCAGTTTGTCCAGACTCTTGCTCAGGTAGACGTGGCCGTGAAACTTGATGAAGGCCCGGATGAAATCTGACACGCTCCACTTGGTTTTCACTTCGTCGCGGCTGCAGAAGACACAGAGGGAGGGGCAGAACATGTCAGATCATATGGGGGACGGTACTGGTGTTAGTCACTTCCTGGTTGTCTTCTTCTCGTGCCCTGATTCGCTGGCTGATTGTGATTTCTCGTAGTTTTGAGCAGTGTTACCTCTCCAGAGCCTTGGACAGGGCCTTCTGCAGGTTGGTGGAGGCTGCTGGGAACGGGAACTTGACGGCGATGCTGCGGCAGTAGTAGAAGATGGTGGTGAGGTGGTCTCCTTTAGAGGACGCCAGGATGGCCAGCTGGTTGTAGGGCTGACCTGCAGGACACACCGAGGAGGAGGTTTTAGATTTTTGTAAAGTATGGCTGAACGAACGATCTCCAATGTTTCCGTCGCTAAGCTCAGCCGTCATCACGTTTCGTACGTTGAGGTCACATTTGCTTTCAGCCTTGCAGAAACACGGCACAGCTCCACACACACACACACACACACACACACACACACACACACACACACACACACACACACACACACACACACACACACACACACACACACACACACACACACACACACACACACACACACACACACACACACACACACACACAGTCTGAACAGGGCTAGTGTCCCCCGGTGTTCAAAGCAGGGCGTCACACTCACCGTTCGACGGGACCAGCTGAGCTGCGTGTCGGTAGTACGACTCCGCCTGGCTGGTCTGGTTACGGTAACGAGCTGAAAGCACAGAAACATGTACGAGTCAGAGGTCGTAGAGAACGCTTCATGTCTGTTAATAACACCGGACGTGTGTGTGTGTGTGTATATATGTGTGTGTGTATATATGTGTATGTGTGTATATATGTGTGTGTATATATATGTGTGTGTGTATGTGTGTATATATGTGTGTGTGTATATATGTGTATGTGTGTATATATGTGTGTATGTGTGTATATATGTGTGTGTGTGTATATATGTGTGTATGTGTGTGTGTATATATATGTGTGTGTCTGTGTGTATGTGTGTGTATATATGTGTGTATGTGTGTGTGTATATATGTGTATATATGTGTGTATGTGTGTGTGTATATATATGTGTGTGTCTGTGTGTATGTGTGTGTATATGTGTACATGTGTGTGTCCTCTCACCGATGTCTCCGAGGTGGACGAGGCAGTGCTGGCAGATGTAGGAGCAGGAGCTGGGCTGTGGCGTGACGATGGCGCTGCTGCTGCTCTGTTTATTGCTGATGATGCCGAGCTGGGACGACTTGACGCGACTCGGCAGGTCCACGTTGAACACGGTGCAGAGCTCCTGCAGCAGCTGGAGGGCGACACGGCAGGTTTAACGCCAACGTGTGACCCAACACACCAAAACGTTCTGGGGACTTTTTTAATGTCTTCATTCACATCGCCATGGTGACGGCTGATATGAACCTTAAAGGGCTGCAAGCATGCCGACAGTTGCTAGGGTAACGTCACTTACACACAGTTTCATTCAGCAGCCAAATAGAGACAAACACGTCACAGGTGTAATATGTAGAGGTGGGCGCCATGACAGGCGAGACACCAAAAAAAACATGATAAACATGAGAATGAAGAAACGGTCACCTGTGTGTAGAAGCCGCTGGCGGCCTCCAGAAACAGGGACAGGTTGGCCTGGACCTCGCTGCGGTTGGGGTTGGCTCTGTTCTTGGCCTGGCTCTGCAGGGTAGTGATCTGATTCTTGAACGCATGATTCCACCTGCGGGAGACAAAAAAGGAAACGCCATCAGGACCGGCGCCAACACACACACACACACACACATCTGTTTCTCCACATCTGATGGAGGTGTATGATCTGAGACGTAGGCGGAGCCGCTTACAGGTCCTGCTCCACCTTCTTGTCCAGAGCGTACTCCAGGTCAGTGACCAGCATCTTCTGGTACAGGTCCTGCAGGGCCTGCCGGGACGTCCACACCTCCGCCGCCCCCAGCTTGGAATCTGACACACACAGAGAGGAAAGTGATGAGGAGCAGCTGCAGGATGTGAGCGGACATGTGGGGGGGGGTGGGTAAGGTGTGCAGCCTACCTTGTTACCGGGGTAACAAGGCCTCCCCCTCAAAGTCCTGACACTCAGAGTTAAGTTCACCAATCTTAAAAGCCTGACCTCTGTGTGGTACAGGTGTGTGTGTGTGTGTGTGTTTTGTGTGTGTGTGTGGTGACCTACCTGTCATGTCAGCCTTCAGGGCTTCTGCCTGTCTGCTCGGATACAAACAGAGAGGAGGAGGTTAGACAGAGCCATCAGAGAGAGAGAGACACACACAGACAGACAGACAGACAGACAGACAGACAGACACACAGACAGACAGACAGACAGACAGACAAACAACAGAACCAACACAACCAACAGAACCAACAGAACCAACACAAACAACACAAACAACACAAACAACAGAACCAACACAAGCAACACAAACAACACAAACAACAGAACCAACACAACCAACACAACCAACACGAACAACACAAACAACAGAACCAACACAAACAACAGAACCAACACAAACAACAGAACCAACACGAACAACACAAACAACAGAACCAACACAAACAACAGAACCAACACAACCAACAGAACCAACACAACCAACAGAACCAACACAAACAACAGAACCAACACGAACAACACAAACAACAGAACCAACACAAACAACACAAACAACACAACCAACACAAACAACAGAACCAACACAAACAACACAAACAACACAAACAACAGAACCAACACAAACAACACAAACAACACAAACAACAGAACCAACACAAACAACACAAACAACAGAACCAACACAAACAACACAAACAACAGAACCAACACAAACAACACAAACAACAGAACCAACACAAACAACACAAACAACACAAACAACAGAACCAACACAAACAACAGAACCAACACAAACAACAGAACCAACACGAACAACACAAACAACAGAACCAACACAAACAACAGAACCAACACAAACAACAGAACCAACACGAACAACACAAACAACAGAACCAACACAAACAACAGAACCAACACAAACAACAGAACCAACACAACCAACACAAACAACAGAACCAACACAACCAACACAAACAACAGAACCAACACGAACAACAGAACCAACACGAACAACACAAACAACAGAACCAACACAAACAACAGAACCAACACAAACAACACAAACAACAGAACCAACACAAACAACACAAACAACAGAACCAACACAAACAACACAAACAACAGAACCAACACAAACAACAGAACCAACACAAACAACAGAACCAACAGAACCAACACAAACAACAGAACCAACACGAACAACACAAACAACAGAACCAACACAAACAACAGAACCAACACAAACAACAGAACCAACACAAACAACAGAACCAACACAAACAACAGAACCAACACAAACAACAGAACCAACACAAACAACACAAACAACAGAACCAACACAAACAACACAAACAACAGAACCAACACAAACAACACAAACAACAGAACCAACACAAACAACAGAACCAACACAAACAACACAAACAACAGAACCAACACAAACAACACAAACAACACAAACAACAGAACCAACACAAACAACACAAACAACAGAACCAACACAAACAACACAAACAACACAAACAACAGAACCAACACAAACAACATGATGCAGCAATTAATCCACACAGCGAGAAGCTGATAAATAAACATTAAGGTAAAACCTCCCTGATCATCCTGACCAGAAAGTCTGCAGCCCCTAAAGGGATCACACACACACACCTGTACACTGATACATAAAGTGTGTGTGTGTGTATCAGTGTACAGGTGTGTGTGTATCAGTGTACAGGTATGTGTGTATCAGTGTACAGCTGTTTGTGTGTGTGTGTATCAGTGTACAGTGTGGTGTGTGTGTGTGTGTGTGTGTGTGTGTGTGTGTGTATCAGTGTACAGTGTGTGTGTGTGTGTATCAGTGTACAGGTGTGTGTGTGTGTGTGTATCAGTGTACAGGTGTGTGTGTGTGTGTATCAGTGTGTGTGTGTGTGTGTATCAGTGTACAGGTGTGTGTGTGTGTGTGTGTGTGTATCAGTGTACAGGTGTGTGTGTGTGTGTATCAGTGTACAGGTGTGTGTGTGTGTGTGTGTATCAGTGTACAGGTGTGTGTGTATCAGTGTACAGGTGTGTGTGTGTGTGTGTGTGTGTGTATCAGTGTACAGGTGTGTGTGTATCAGTGTACAAGTGTGTGTGTGTGTGTGTATCAGTGTACAGGTGTATGTATCAGTGTACAGGTGTGTGTGTGTGTGTGTGTGTGTGTGTGTGTGTATCAGTGTACAGGTGTGTGTGTGTGTGTATCAGTGTACAGGTGTGTGTGTATCAGTGTACAGGTGTATGTGTGTGTGTGTATCAGTGTACAGGTGTGTGTGTGTGTGTATCAGTGTACAGGTGTGTGTGTGTGTGTATCAGTGTACAGGTGTGTGTGTTGTGTATCAGTGTACAGGTGTGTGTGTGTGTGTATCAGTGTACAGGTGTGTGTGTATCAGTGTACAGGTGTGTGTGTATCAGTGTACAGGTGTATGTGTGTGTGTGTATCAGTGTACAGGTGTATGTGTGTGTGTGTGTGTGTGTGTGTGTGTATCAGTGTACAGGTGTGTGTGTGTGTGTATCAGTGTACAGGTGTGTGTGTGTGTGTGTATCAGTGTACAGGTGTATGTGTGTGTGTGTATCAGTGTACAGGTGTGTGTGTGTGTGTATCAGTGTACAGGTGTATGTGTGTGTGTATGTGTGTGTGTGTGTGTGTGTGTCTGTGTGTGTGTGTGTGGATTATAATCGTGGTATTAAAGTTTTGTATCATCATTAAAGTAAATAAAAACAGTTTCGTGTTTATTTAAAAACAGCGCTAACGCTAATGCTAACGCTAATGCTAACGCTAACGCTAACCTGACGCAGAAAGACGCTAGCATGCTAAAGCTAACATTTGGTAAACACGTCTGTCTGTGGCGGGTAAACATCATTTAAACCTTAGTTCGTTATAACAGCGGGTAGTGAGCGTTGATTCTAAATAAATCGAATCCAATTTGAATCAAATGCTGTGATTATTCGACTGAATGTCAGTTCTTTGGTGGCGCCATCGATTGTTTGTTGATATGTGTAGCTAGCAGCTAACGGTTAGCCTGTTAGCTTTAGCATTAGCAACAGAACAAAACAATCCTCACGCAGGAAGAAAGTGAAGAACAGAGACAAACAGAGACCCCCAGAGACCCCCAGAGGACCCCGAGGGCCCCGAGGACCCCGAGGACCCGAGGACCCCGCTCACAGCTCACCGCAGATACTGCCCGCACAGGTTCATCCTGCCGGAGAACCAGCCGCTCACACAGACACCGAACATAACGAGCCTCCAGCCGCCATGTTGTTCCTGTCTGAGCCGGGAGGGGAGGGGGAGGAGGAAGAGGAGGGGAGGGGAGGAGGAAGAGGAGGGAGGAGGGAGGAGGGAGGAGGGAGGGGAGGAGGGGAGGGGAGGGGAGGAGGGGAGGAGGGGAGGGAGGAAGAGGAGGGAGGAGGGAGGAGGGAGGAGGGGAGGAGGGGAGGAGGAAGAGGAGGGGAGGAGGGGAGGAGGAGGAAGAGGAGGGGAGGGGAGGGAAGAGGAGGGAGGAGGGAGGAGGGGAGGGAGGAGGAAGAGGAGGGAGGAAGAGGAGGGGAGGGGAGGAGGAAGAGGAGGGGAGGAGGGAGGAGGGGAGGGAGGAGGAAGAGGAGGGGAGGGAGGGGAGGAGGGGAGGAGGGGAGGGGAGGAAGAGGAGGGGAGGAGGGGAGGAGGGAGGAGGGGAGGAGGGAGGGAGGAAGAGGAGGGGGGAGGGGAGGAGGAGGAAGAGGAGGGAGGAGGGGAGGAGGGAGGGGGAGGAGGAAGAGGAGGAGGAAGAGGAGGGGAGGAGGAAGAGGAGGGAGGGGAGGAGGAAGAGGAGGAGGAGAGGAGGAAGAGGAGGAAGAGGAGGGGAGGAGGGGAGGAGGGGAGGAGGGGAGGGGGAGGAGGGGAGAGGAAGAGGAGGGGAGGAGGAGGGAGGAGGAAGAGGAGGGGAGGGGAGGGGGAGGAGGAAGAGGAGGGGAGGGGGAAGAGGAGGAGGGAGGGGAGGAGGAAGAGGAGAGGAGGAAGAGGAGGGGGGGGAGGAGGGGAGGAGGGGAGGGGAGGAAGAGGAGGGGAGGAGGGAGGAGGGGAGGAGGGGAGGAGGGGAGGGGAGGAGAGGAGGGGAGGAGGGGAGGGGGAGGGCGAGGGGAGGGGAGGAGGGGAGGGGAGGAAGAGGAGGGGAGGAGGGGAGGAGGGGAGGAGGGAGGAGGGGAGGGGAGGAAGAGGAGGGGAGGAGGGAGGAGGAGGAAGAGGAGGGGAGGGGAGGAGGGGAGGGAGGAAGAGGAGGGGAGGAGGGGAGGAGGGGAGGGGGGAGAGGGGAGGGGAGGAAGAGGAGGGGAGGAGGGGAGGAGGAGGAAGAGGAGGGGAGGAGGGGAGGAGGAGAAAGAGGAGGGGAGGAGGGAGGAGGGAGGGAGGAGGAAGAGGAGGGGGAAGAGAGGGGAGGGGAGGAGGAAGAGGAGGGGAGGAGGGAGGAGGGAGGGGAGAGAAGAGGAGGGGAGGGGAGGGGAGGAGGGGAGGAGGGGAGGGAGGAAGAGGAGGGAGGAGGGGGGAGGGGAGGAGGGGAGGAGGGGAGGGGAGGAAGAGGAGGGGAGGAGGGGAGGAGGAGGAAGAGGAGGGGAGGAGGGGAGGAGGGGAGGGAGGAGGAAGAGGAGGGGAGGAGGAGGAGGGGAGGAGGGGAGGAGGGGAGGGAGGAAGAGGAGGGGAGGAGGGGAGGAGGGGAGGGGGAGGAGGGGAGGAGGAAGAGGAGGGGAGGAGGAGGGGAGGAGGAAGAGGAGGGGAGGAGGGGAGGGGAGGAGGAGGAGGAAGAGGAGGAGGAGGA